CCCTTAAGGTAGATGTCGTCGTAGAGGTGGCCGTAGAGCTCGTCGTCGACGCGATGGACGGCGCGCCGGACGTTACGAATGAACTCTCGTTTCGACATTTTGTTCTTAATGTGTGGACTCGAGAGGTCGACGGACAGCATGATTAGGGAGAAGCAGAGCACGTAAATCATGTCCGCATTGAGACCGAGACCGGGGTTACAGTTGCAGAAGCGCTGCGAGAACTTGTCGACCATGAGGTGGAGGTAATGGTCCCGTTTGGTGGGCGCCTCCAACACGGAGAACAGTCGCCGCAACGCGTTCGGCAGGAACTGGTTCTCGAAGTTCTGCAGATTTATCAACTGATCCAACACTTCGGGCCTTTTGTTGAGGTATAACCGCATTTGTCTTTTGTCCAGAGGTTTCGCCAAATGGAAGAACTTCGCGATCTCTTTGGGCGTATTGTCCACCAGTTTGTGGCCCAAGAAGTACTCCATTCCCTATACAGACATACAATGCATGCGTTTATGAGTATATCGTATATCACGAGAGACTTTGTGTCCAAATGAGACACACTTTGTGTCCAAATGAGACACAATTTGGTGGCAAAACGTCGAGACAAACCATTTGCGAGTCGGCGTTGAAGGTAACGGTTCCCTCGTCTAACTGGAGGTACATCTTATGGTACGAGAAGTTATCCATTTTGGGCTTCAGGTATATGGAGGCGTATCCCCACTGAGAGCACGACAACGAGTGCCACAACACCTCATCCCTGGCCAACTCAGTCCACACACAGGCCGCCAGACACAGGTCTGTGGCGTTCAGGTTCTTCAGCACCGTTAGACTCAACTCCGGCGGCCATTCAGACAAATCGGGTAATCCTGTCATCAGTGGATCCATTGCCACATCGTGTCAGACATAAGACAATGAGTGGTAGACATAAGACAATGAGTGGTTAGTTAAGAGACACTTCCAGTGCTTACCATTTGTGTGATTCATGTCATTGTCGGATGTGTTGTGCTTATGGTTAGTGTTATTGTAATCGTAGTTATCATTCAAATGATTATAATTCACGTAATTATAGTC